CATAGCAAGCAACCACATTGCATAAATAAATACAGCCAAGTACATTTCAATGTAAACATATATTGAATGGGCGTCAGACCAAGCGGGTGAAAAAGTCCACAGAGTCTTAAATCATTAAATTGCAAATTGAATTCAACAGCCATTGCGTTTCAGGGGCAACAACACTCCCCCTTCATCAGGGCATAAAATAATAATGTGGGGGCTTTAAAAACTCAAAGGACTGAAGCAAATGTTCTCCTTTTGGACTTTAACAACATGAAGTGATCAGCAACAATTGTAAAAACGAGCAGTTAAAGAACACTTGTCATGGCAGAAATATGGAGGTTGCTATTGTTGATCTCCTTCTTACCTGGAACAAGAGCACAACAAAAGTAGAAAAAAAAAAAACCTCTAGATGTCTACTTGAGTCAGAGATTGCTGAAACCAAACGGGTTAGCCAGGCAACTAGCATTTTCAGGAGACGTCAGCAATGGCAGCCTCCGTTTTTTGCCTACAGCAGGGAGGTGTTTTCACTGCCAAAGGTTTTGTAAGTTTGTCAGTCCACATCTGAAATTTACACAGCTCTGGCCCACAGCACAGCCTTGTCTGGCAGGGCCTAATTATTATCTGCTACAAGAGCAGAGTGATGAGTTTATCAGTATGCTTCCTCTCTCTTATCTCTTCCCCACCATGTGACTGGGCAGTGTTGCAGCAGAGAAAAGCAGGCCTCCTGCTCTGTATGACAAGGCTGTTCTTTGGCACATAAAATTACTCTTATATATGTATTTCTTCTTTGTAGTTTGCTGATAACTGTCAATAAAGTGCAAAATAATGCATTCAAACAAACAAAACAGCCAGAAAGAAATTTGCACTTGATCATACAATGCCATATTTTGATTGTTTGGGCTAATTAAGTGCAATTTTACAGTCTGTATATAATAAAACTAAACCAACTGGAGATCAGATTATTGTAATATAATTAGCATTTTAAAATAGTTAAAAAAATAACATTTCTGACATGTCCGGTTTTTTTTTCTGTTACAGGTAATTGCTGTTGTAACTCTATTTAAAGACAAAATCCAAATACTTTACCATGAAATCTTAAACAATAATTGTTTTTCGGTAATTGAGTTAAGCACTGATAAATAACATTATCACAGAATAGGTAGATGTTGCAGAACATTACTGTTTATGAGTCATGCTTTTACAGTAGGAACTTGGCAAGCCTTCACAACAAGCCACCCCCTCTCTTAATTATCTCTAATGATGATGACTAGATGTAGTACTAATTTATTCAAAACATAGTGAGATTAATAAAACATGCAATAAACGGTCAAATAAACAAAAGTAAGAATATTTAGACAATTGTGCACTACATTTTAGGCCTGGTAATCTGTATTTAATCCAATTCACCAAACATTTTCTTAAATGTAATAATAAGTCAATATTTAAAATTGTGGATATGTACTTGTCAATATATAGTTTATTTATCAGATAGATCAAACAGAATCAGGCCACCCATTAGTTGATGATTTACCTTTCATGCTCCTGTAATCTGTCCAAAATGTCTCTTCAAAGAATCACATGGTGGTGGGTTACTAAACGGCAGTTGGTTCATGCCAATCCACTAAACCTGCATTTGCTTGAATTGCCCAATATTCTAAGTAGATAATTGAATAATAGCTTGCAATGCCAGGCTGCAGCAAACAAAGCTAGCAGAGTACTGTCTTGTATTAAAAAGGGAATGTATTGTAGAGATAAAGTAATCATTTTGCCACTTTATAGATCACTTGTTTGGCCTCATCTGGAGTATGCGGTCCAGTTTTGGTCACCAATCCACAGAAAGGATTTCTTTGAGCTTGAGAGAGAGTCCAGAGAAGGCCAACACAACTAATTAAGGGGCTAGAGGACCTAAGCTATAAGACAATGTAACTAAATTTAATGCTAGAAGTGAGGCGATTAGGAGGGGACATGATTTTGGTGTTCTAAATGTTTAGTGGTGATGGCAATAAACTATTTACAGTAAACTCCACTACAAAGACTAGAGGCCACCACCTAAAATTGGTGGAGAAAAGATTTAACCACAAGGGTTTTTTTTTCAGTTAGAGCGGTTAAAGTCTGAAACTCCCTGTCGCAAGCAGTGGTATCAGCTGAGAGTATTGAATCATTCAAAAAGCATTTAGATACCTTCCTCAGAGACCGTAACATAGAGGGGTACAGGTACTCTTAAAAACAAGATCACACAGGGACTTGTGTACACACATACACATGCACATCACACACAGTCGCACAAAGGTTGAATTTGATGGACCGGTGTCTTTTTTTCAACCTCAAATACTATGTAACTATTATTTTTTATTAATTAAAAACAATTTTTTTACTGTTTGGGGGACTTCGGGGAAATATTAGGGGTCTAAACAGCCCCATGATTTTTCTCTTTTAAAATAGAAAAAGAAATTGAGGACACAGAGTCCTCACATAGTGTTCAAGATCACACCACATTATATAGACCAACGGATAACATAACTTACCAATCATGGTTAATTGACATCATAATGACGTCATGCCCGTCCAAAGGAAAAGGTAAACAGCTGAATGCTAACTAATGCACTTCACAGAACATTATACGAATACCATTAAGCATATAGACAGGAGAACAATCTAGGACAAAATAGCTGATGTGGAGAAATTCTCCAATTCAGCTCACTTTCCAGTTCAGCTATGTTGTCCTAGATTGTTCACTTCTCCTGCCTTCTCCAAACTCTTCACCCTTTTGTGAATAGCCCTGTTAGTCTGTGTGTAGCATAATATTTTTATAATGTGTGGCATGGAATAGTTACAGCAACAACAGTTTTCCTTGTTTTAAATGGACTTTAAAAGTAATATTTACAAAAGCTGTACTCCTACATATATGTGTGGGTTGGGAAGTATGAATGTGCACAAGCTGACAAAAGAATATAAACATTCCCCAGGCTGCAGAGGGAGTGAACAGCTTTGAAAGGGCTGTAAATATGACAATAGTTGCCAAGAGCTGTGATCGTTGAGAGATTTTCGGACTAGCCTACTCATGCTGTTCTCAATGAGCCAATCAGCCAGTCAGAAAAGGGGGTGTGAGGCCGGGTGGAGTTACAATGACCTTGTATTAGGTTAGACGCTTTTGAAGAATGAGCTGTGGAAAGGTAACCATCGGTCACATATTTATGCTTGTCATTCAAACCATTCGGTCCTCCCAAAACCCCACTGTGTTCCCTATGTTGCAGCCATAAGAGGGATTATCGTAGAAATTAGCCTTTATTGCTTGGAAAATGAAGAAAAAAAACTGCAGCTTATTAAATTAGATTTAAAGTGTGGAAACTGTAGCAGTTCAAATACAAATATGACTACTGAAGTTACAAATTGTGCCTTTTGGAGTAAAACAGAGGAGCTGATTTACTAAGGGCAAACAGGCTGTTAACATTTTAAGAGAATTTTCCTTTAGCTTAGAGAATGTGGTGAAGCTCTGCTGACTCCCATCATCCAATCACGTGCAAGCAAAAATCTTGTGGGTTTTTTTTTTTTTTATTGTTCTTTGGTATTCTTTGCAAAGTTAATTTTCAGCTCATCTACTAAACTAAGGGAAAATTATCTTGCAACGTGAACAGCCTTTTTGTCTTTAGTAAATCAACCTCAGAATTACCACTTCATCACCTAATTTTTAAACGTTTTATCACCAGTGCTGTAAATATACATACCTAATGTTTGTTTATTGTACAGACACATTTGGCTTCTATAAGGAAACACTTACATTTTAAACATTTAAACCAAAAGCAGCATTTGAGGAATATTATTTAACAACGCTGTTAGAGGAGAGTTTATGTTTTGAAACACAAGTATACCTCACATGTATGCCATGTGAGAGAATTATTCCTAAAATCTGCAACATTTGTTTCTAAACAGAGTTAAAGAATTTCATTGACATTCTCATAGACAATTCAAGTACCTTTTTTTTTATTTTTTATTTTAGCTGGAACTTTGCCAAAAATTCCTTAGGGAAGTGAAACCATACCTAACACTTTCCTTGTGATTATGCCTGTGAATTTAACGGCTGTATAAAGGGAATCTGTCCTAAAACAACACATCTTTGTGAACTGGCTCTGATGGAAGAAGCCACTCTCTGCAGTTAAATTCTGGGGGAAGTGGATCTTAACCTGTTTACACGTCATACCTTTGGCACTAGCTTGCACCAATTCAGTGCATGGCTGCTTCCATGGGAAGCTAAATACACAGGTATTTTGCATTGTGACCTTTTGAGTCCCAATTAAATCTCTGCACTCATCTACATCCCAAACAGATTTTTTTTTTCAACTTCATAATGCCCAGGAAAGTGAAATGCAAAATAAATATGTTCAATGAGATGTTTAAATTAGAAAAGCAATACAACTAAAGAGAAAAATCTCCCTAAATCCGACTATAAGAAATGGATGATGACCGGTTGCTATTGGTTACTGCACAACAGTGTCCTTTGCATTAAACAATTATAAATACTTGGTTTCAGGTCATATCAGAATGAATACAATATATACTTTCAATTACATACCTTTTAGCCTGTTACAATATCTGGTGCTAACTTCAAAGGGATATAAAATACATTCCTCCTATTATGAGCTCAAAAAAGTTTTCTTCTCAAGGCACATAAGCAAGCATGCGTGTGCCAAGAATTCAAGTACATTCTGTGATTTTAGAAGCATGTGGTGGAACATTTAAAATATCTCCAAAGATGTTCTGTTAGCTCTATGGATTCCATCATACAAATTAGTAAATAGCATGCAGATCTAAATATAGATCTAGTATATACAGCTTCAAAAACTTCAGAAACGGTTTGTAAAACATACAACACATTTCATTTAAACGGCTCAGCTTGAGTATATGAATGAAACAAGATCTGTAACATGCCTCATTGGATTACAGTAGGAAAGAGCTGCTAGGCTTTTGAAATGAAAGAAAGACGAAACAGACAACACTTACTAAAGAAACAAACTTACTTGTAGTGGTTGGCTCAGTAGCAGCTATGACTTTGTAGCAAGTCAGCAGACAGTGCATCCATACAAACAGTGCAAGGACTTCTCCACTTCTCATGTTTTTCATAAAAAAAACTTTTGTCTGCACTAAAACAATAATGCTTTTTATCTCTCTTTTGAAGAACTATACGACCTAAAAAGTTTGATTAATGTTCTAGCAGCTGAATGGAATGGAAAGGTCTCACACAGGCAGGAGGAGTCCTGAATTGCTATTGGCAGTCAGAAGTCTCCTTATGTTATGAGAGATATGCAAATCATAAACCATCCCACCAAAAGGAGGTTCCCAGGGTTTCAAAGTGTAAAAAATAGCATCAATGTGAAAGATTGCAAGGGACTTCACTTGTAATAACTAATCTGCTGATGCACTTAGAATAGAACATTCCAGTGCACAGCTTGAGCAACACATCTCTTTCAAAATACATTCACTAAGGGCATTTTAATACTCCAACATCACAGAACAATGTGGTAATATTATTTTATTCATGTATACATCACTACTGTATCAATCAAGGAACTTACAATCTAAGGTTATTGAAATATGTCCCTGGATTTTATTTCCCTACAAAAGTCATACACATATTCTATGGCTAGTTATAAATGGTGAGAAGACCATATTACCCACAGTTAAAGCTATGCTATGAACAGCATACTGGCACATTATGGCACACTTACCTACTTACCTTACAAGTGTGCCTTCCTCAAGCACAGACCAATCTAGGCTGCCAGTCACTGTTCCATTTATGGGTGTTGCCATCTACTCTGCTGCTTCTTTGGGGCCCCCCGTTGTTCTTTTTGTTCATTGGACTGCCTCTGATGATTTACCTCCTGCACATACGACCAGATGTTACATGGTCCTCAGCACCTCGCTCCACTAGCATGTGCCATACAGTGTACACAAGAAATAAAAAACTGCTGGAGGTGAGAAGCAGTCATGTTTTGGCAGATGAGACTTTGCATTTCTCTTCTTCCAAAAAGCTCAGAAAATAGAAAGACAATGCAGATAGAGTCCATGATCGGAAGCAAATCCAGGACTGGAGTACTGCAAGGGTGCTAAACACTTATTGAAGTAATATAACATACACGTGGAATAAATATAAGTGTTATGTCAAAAACTTCCAATCTAAATACAACATCAATGAAAATATGTTAAACAAATGTATTATATGAGTGATTCAGTTCTAAGTTCATATAACAGGAAACTACAAGGTGCTTTAAACCATAGACCTGCTTTACAGATTTCACTTTTCATCAGTTGAAAGTAATGAAAGCACTGACGTGTTGTTGCTATGGGTTACTGGACTTGGTATACCAAGCTTTACACAATTATTTCATGATGAAATTCTGCCAGTAAATATAAAAACCTTTTGGTATGCAGCTTTGCAAAAATACATGAAAAGCCTCTGTGTACTACAGGTAACAACATACCCTCTAGTGTAGAATTAATGTTCTGGTCATAATAATCATTATATCATAATTATTTTATTTGCCTGTATATTGTATAACAACAAGATTGTTTTGGTTCACCTAATAGAAAGTCATTGAAACTCTTTCCTTGTCCTGCACTAGTTTTCTATAATCAGCTCAGCATAGTTTTAATGCCATTCTCCTCTCGTCACACAAACATAGAGTGATCTACTTCAGAAGCCACTACAGTAGTTTCTGAATTAGAGCTTCAATGTATTTAATGCAAAGACCACTGGAACTATTTTGGAGCCGATTATTCTCCCTTTTACATGTGTTTTGTGACTAACATTAAAACCTGTCCAAGTTGATGCTGACTTGTAATCAGCATAGTAATATAATAAGAAATGCACGTTTAATTATTCAGCCTTTATATTCCCTTGTGTAAGCTTGCTGTTCCTGAGCTGGTTAAACAGATATTATTTCAATAAAGATGAAAGTACGTATAGTTGATCCCAAAATATCAGAGTACTCAACCATAGATTGGCTTGTACTACAGGTGGGCAGGAAAGGAAGCTGCCTTGGACAAATCAACAGGAGCAGTTCAAGAACCCTCTGTCATCTAGTAATGACGGTGTAAATGCCTTACAGCACTCAGTTCAACTGTCCTATAGCTCCTCTATATTCCTCTCCTGGCACTATCATGCTCACATCCCACAGTGGTGTTGTCCCTGCCCATCTTAAAGCACTGGAAATCAAGACTAAAAAGTAGTTGCTGCGATCCTGAAATGTTGCACCTGGGAAAACGGGAAGTGACTGGCAATGTTGAGGATCTTGGGATCCTCATCTACATGCAGCCTCACTGCCTGTGGTGGGAGAATGAATGGTGTGATTGGGGTAGGGTATTGATAGGACACTGGAGTGTGTAGTGAGTATACTGCCAAAATCCCAGAGTGTGTAGAGGTGTGAGGGAACAGTGATCAGAGACTGGAAGATGTAGTAGGAACAGTGACAGGAGGCCAGAGTGGACAATGAAAACCTCATGGAGCTAGGAATAAAGTGTGTAAGGGAAATACATGTAAAAGGAACTAAACAAAACACAGAATGAAGGGCAGTTTTACCTTTAGCACCTTTGGTGCGGGAAGTTAGTCTTCTTTTGTTCATAGGATATGGGTGAAGTACACAGTACACAAATATATGAGAATTATGAACATATATTGCTTGAATGTATGTAATTGCCTTTTATGTACTTTATGGGCTGCAAATGCTTTAACGAGGATACAAATGACTTGGAGTAACCTCTGTGAGTGTGACCATGACTGGAATGTTTGAAACAAGGTCATTATATGCGTCCTAAAGATTGAATTCGCTGAACAGTGTTGTTACTGATACTCAGAATACATGCAACAGCAAGATGAGACATAATTGTTCTACCTCAAGGGGAACCTGCAGGGCATTTTTAAACTCTCAAGGCAGCTCCTGATCCCACGAAAAGCCACCTCCAAGTGCCTGCTCATATTCTTAAATGACCTTCAATATCACACTGGATTCCCAAAACCTGGGCTGCAAAATAGCTACCACAGCTTCCTGGTCACGGTTCTGGCATGCATTTCTGTATTTTACAGTTTTAAAGTGACATTAAAGGCAAAAAAAAAATTCCCTCCCCCCCCATGTTAATGTTAGCGCTAACCTTAAATTATGTCTCTTTTTCCGATCTTCCTCTTCTTTCCTGATGTTTTCAGCCTTCTCTCCAGCGGTGCGGCGGCTCTCCGATCCAGCGCTGACTGCTCTGTCCCTCCGATCCAGCGGTGTCTGCATGCGGGTGCACGCGTCCATAGACTTACCTTGCTTCCCTCGTCACGTCCCGGCCAAAAATGAGAACTGCGCATGCGCCCGCCCCAAAATCCTTTGCGGCCGCTCGAGAAATGTCTCATTTTCGCACGGGACCACGCACGGAACACACGTGAGTCTAAACTGCTGTTTGAGTGGGGTTTTTTTTTCTTTTTTTAACTTTTTGCATATATCTACTGCTTCCTAGCAGTAGATATATGCAAAAAAGGGGAGGGTTTAAATATCCTTTAACTCTCAAATCAGGTCAATTTCAGATGGGCTGTAGTCCACACGTTGGGATTGATTTACGTAAGGCAAATAGGCTGTTCACTTTGCAAGGGAATGTTCTCTTAGCTTAGTGATTGTGGTGAAAATTCACTTTGCAAAGAACTTCCAATCACATGCAAGGAAAATAAAAATACAAAATAGTACGTTTGCTTGCACATAATTTGGATAATGGAATCAGCAAAGCTTCACCTTATTCACTAAGCCAAGGGAAAATTATCTTGTAAAGGGAACGGCCTATTTGCCTCTAGCAAATCAACCACTTTGCCTTTCTCAGTGGAAAAACACATTGTGGGGGGTTAACAAAGATGGGCGCATGCCGAAAAACTTGCCAGTTTCTATATGTCTGCTTAATTAGTGCTTCCTGTGACAAATTCTGGAACAAATCTGAGGTAATCTTTCCCTGGAATCATCTTACATTTTCTTCTACTCTCCTGCCTGCATTGCTGTTCCCTGCTGGTTGTCAATACACATCGCCCTTTCCTCTGCTCAATGCAGTGCTGGTCATCGCTGCTGCCACTCTTCACTGGAACGTTTACACTACTCTGGTAATGAGATATATTTTAGAACTAGGTTTAAATAAGAACATTGGTGCATGCAATACATTTTTGGTGCACAGGATCGGACATTTATAGAAACTGTCTCATAGCATTTTTAACATGATTTGGCAGATCTTGTCTAATAACATTACAATTTGGTGCAGGGATGATGCACCAATATATTCACCAAAAAACTGGTGCATTTCCTTTTGTTAATTCCCCACAGTGTGTATATTCCTTACTGAGGTGTGCTACCCCATTACACACACATTATTATTATTAATATTATTATATAGGATTTATATAGCGCCAACAGTTTGTGCAGCGCTTTACAATATAAGGAAGACATTACAATCACAATACAATTCAAGACAAGATGGAAAGGAGGGCCCTGCCCCTGAGGGCTTACAATCTAAAAGGGAGGGAGAAGTGATACATGAGGAGGTAGCTGTGTGGGGATGAATTGTTTGAAAATGTGATGGTTGAGCGGTTAGGTTGAGGTGGTATAGGCTTCCCTGAAGAGATGAGTCTTTAGGGAACGCCTAAAGGCAGTCAAGGTTGGAGATAGACGGACAGGTTGGAGTAAAGAGTTCCAGAGGAAGGGAGATACTCTAGAGACGTTTTGGAGGCGAGTATGGGAGGAGTTGATAAGGGAGCTGGAAAGCAGGAGGTCTTGGTATGAGCGGAGTGGACAGTTAGGGTGATACTTTGAGACTAGGTTGGAGATATAGCAGGGGGCAGAGTGGTGGATGGCTTTATAAGTGACTGTTTTAAATTGTATCCTCTGGGCGAGTGGAAGCCAGTGTAGGGATTGGCAGAGGGGGGTTGCAGACACTGAGCTGTTGGTCAGGTGGGTGAGTCTAGCAGCTGCATTCATGATAGACTGAAGGGGGGATACCCTGTGTAGTGGATATATAATATAATATAAATATATAATATTTGGAAGCTGATCAATCTGCCTTATGCTTGTGTAACACAGGGAAAACTGCTGGCAAATATGAGCCATGCAGCTTATAAACAACTCTTCAATTGTTAAAGTGATATTAAAGTCAGAAGGTTTTTAAGCTAATTCAAATGCTGATGAGATCACTTACAACAGATGCTGCTCCATGATGT